CTTCTTGCTACTACTTTATCTCAAACTCTCAGAAAATCTCCAAAAAGATCTTCATTGGAGGTGTGGCTTTGCCAGGAAACATTCAAGGCCACTTGCAGCATTCAAGTATAACAACAATTTTATGACTTGGTAAGGGTCCTGGTTTCACCACCATGAAGAAGAACAAATTCTCCAGTGGCTTTGAAGAATGACAGTTTTATGCCCTGGACATAAATTATTAGATCTCCACATCTTCTTCATGTCGTTCAGCCCCTTCCAGGCCTTGCCTATTCTTGCTTTTATGTCACTCTCTGTACAGGCAGTGTGAGAACCTTAATAATTTAAATCCCGAACTTCTCGCAGTTTTTTTCCTTCCATATTTTTGAGTGGAGTATCGACACTCGAGTTGTAATAGATAACCTCTGTCTTCTTTGGGTTAAGCTGCAGGCCTACTTTCTTGTACTCAGACTCTGTTAGTGTGAGTAGTTTCTGAGCCTGATCAACCACATTAGACAAAAGAGCAATGTCATCAGCAAAGTCGAGAGAAGCTGCTAGCCGTAAAAGCCAAAGGAACATCTGTACAGGAGGCCAAGGAGCTGCAGGCTACATACTGACATTACACTGTAAGGCTCCCGGAGAACAGTAGACCTGCACCGTTCTAAACCTCTTATTTCACTGGTCCCCTTTAATCTGCACCTCCACTGTTTTCAGGGATAGTGGTATTGTTATATGACAATCCCTATTGTTTTCCCAGCTAATCAAAAACAATCTTTCAAATAGGTGTGGGATCGCCCCTGGAGAGTACCAAGCTTTCAATTTATTATAATTCAAACAGCTCTTGAACAGCTACTGATTTTGTTAACATGTACATTTGAACAAGTAAACCTGGAGAAATTCACATTAGTATTTTGTTTCATCAGTTATGTCCACATGAAATCTCTTAACATCCCAGTAGGTTAAATTATGCACGTCATTTTTGTTTGCTTCACTCTCGTTTCCTTTTAATTTAAAATTGTGTATCAAAATAAACTAACTATAAATGCCATAAATGGAAGAGAGATAAGAGATTTTAATGCTTAAATATTAAAGGCTTCCGAGGCAAACAAAGGTGACTCAAACGCAAACAAGTCAGTGAATTTCTTTAACAGTGAGTCATGTGTTCTCGTGTATCCTCTCTCAAACGGCGGAAGAACCGGCGGGCCTTTTCAAACTAACAAATTTCTGGTTTCTTGGTTACCGCTTTGTGTTAGATCTAAATAGATTTACAGTCGGTGAATGCTAGTATAGGAGTACGCTCCATAGGTGACATAAATCGTGGCTGTGGAAGTAGGTAAAGAAGAAGAATCCAAAATTCAAATAACAGGTTACGAGTTCAAGCAGAATCTATTATAGTATCAGAAAATGCAAAAACAAATTGATATCTCACCATTTTTGTCCACTCTCAAAACTCAACGTGGCATAAAGCCTCGCTTTCATGTCACAAAACTGGTAGCCGCGCCTTCTCGTGCTTCGCTGCCACAAACTTCGTGCTTAGCATCCAAGCCTTTGTTTGAAAAGGCGGAAAGTTTGAAAAATTATCGTTGCAAAATGGCGGATTTTTTTTCAACTCCTTCTGAATCTGGAAGAAGAGGAAAGTTTTGTGGCTTGGCTTCAACGGCTGGACGACGTATTCAATCTAATCGCACTCCCTGGCTTTCCAGAAGACATACTCCGTACGTTACAACCCCCAAATCTGGACGAATTATTCGAAAACAAGATGGGGAGACTACACGATCTGCCACACTTCGCAAGACCGCAAATCGTCAAGAAAAGGAAAACTTTCCAACCACTGTATTTTCTCACGGGTCGAAGCGATCCAATGCTAGAATTGTTCAAACTGAGGGAAAGACTACAAACGTATTTCAGGATATTATTGGTAAAACGCTTCGTGTGTATCAGGCATCGCCGCTTTATGATTTTGACGCTTCCAGCGTGACAACATATGCAGAACAAATTTCTGGGTTTCTACAGTTAGAGACAGATAAACAACTTCTAGTTGGAGCAAATGGCGAAATCAAAAATCGCAAATACATGACTGACATCTTTGTTTTCAAAGATATTTCACCTGAAGACACGAAACTTTCAGCTGTGAAAGTAACCGTCAACAATTTTACAGAAAACACTTCTACCAAAGTAAAATCAACTTCTAATCCAATTTTGATAATGATGATGTGCTCTGTGGAAAAAGAATTTTCAGCAGATACAAGACTGCAAGGTCAATTTACCTCTCTACCAGTTTGTCTCATCAAAGGTCCCGCAGACCTTTGCAGAAGTTTGATCCAATGGTTTGAGCAGAAATTTGATTGTAGAATCACCCCGATGACTTTCTCATCCACAGATCTTTGTTGGTATTTTTCTCTCTGGGCAGGGATGTCATCGGCTGGCAAATCCTCACCGATCGAACTTTGTTACGATGCGTCGACTGTGACAGGACTGAACAGAATTTTATTTAGCATCGAGGAAAAGGATGCAAAAGAGATCTGGGAAAATATCCACGACAAAAACTCTCTCATTTTTACTGAAGAAGAGTCGTTGACTTTTCTCAAGGCTTTGGAGACTCACTTTTATCATCATTTTAAGATAAATCTGGAAGGATTGTCAGTTACTAGAGTAAGGACAGCAATTGCTTGCATTGCCTCAGAAGGAAAGCTCAAACTCATAGACTCTCTTTATGCAGATCATATATTAGAGCAACTAACACAAACTGCCCTCACAAAAGAATTTTATGGGAGGCTGTGAGAAGGTGGTGTTGACAAGGAAAATACATGGGAAACCCTGTAATGGATTGCGCGATCCGCAGTTCAAAGTCAACATGCCTTCTGTATTGCAAAAAGGCTAATGCAGTCAAAGAGTCTGAGGATGTAACTGGGAATAATCTGTTTATAGTTGTATACCATTCGCTACATATTGCACAGGGTCATTCCCCAGTGATGGCTATTTTAATTAGATTTTTAACAAACAGTTAATATTTTTCTCATGTTTTCAGGCAAGTGAAGGCAAGCACAAGGCCGGCATGAAGCAGGGGACAAAAGTAATGGGAAAGGCACCTTCCCCCATTGTGTGTTCTTTACCTCCTACTCCAACACCAGCCTCTTACTTGTCTTCACTAACCTGAAATCATCAGCCTGTTCTGCAGGGCTATGATATTCTTAATTGAATGATGGCTGTACTTTTTATCCTTTATTGATCCTTTTTACAAATATTAACTTTTAGTTTAAAATAAAATTGTATATAAGCTCATAACTTATTTAACTGATTTTTGGAGCAAATTGGAGAAAACAGCAAAAAAGAGGAACGAGTGAGTGAGAACATTCCACGACCCTGCTGTCCGATTTCGTGGGAATCTAAATACCTGGAATGGACTGCTTATTCACACAATAACTTCAAATCAGTTACAGATGTACTTATTTGTCATTTTTCTTGGGAGTAATGGCAAAAGACACCCCTACAAGTTATAAGAAAAAATGAGGTTATTCTACACTCCCAACCTTTTAGACAGTTTTACAAAACAGAGTACAAGTTATAAGCTGGTTCATATTGTTACAGATGTACCTAGTTTTTATTTTTCTTGGGAGTATTGGCCCTTTACAAAGTCACCTTTAGAAGTCTTTTAATATAAGATTAGTGGAAGTTGTTCTACACTCCCAACATTTTATACACTTTTACAAACACAGAGTACATGAGCTACAAGGTTGTAATTTTTATTAAAATATGTAACCTGTTGTTTACATGAACTTTAGAGAGATGTTATAATCATATTCCTTAATAATTGTTAAAAGTGCATGTGTTGAATAATAAAAAAGACATTTTTAATGTGATTCCTGTACAGACAGTATTATGTATCCAGAAAAAAAACCTTACCTAGTCTTAAATAAATGGTAACTTAATCAGGTGAAACTCCTGTAAACACAGGTTCTGTACAGTTATAAACAAGATGACAAAAGGCTGCCAGTAAGCTCTCTTGCCAATCTCAGTCTCTGGAACAAGTCAAGAGAACTCAGAGACAGCAAAATCATTATGGTAAGTGGTTCCTGATGAAATTTGTTAGATTTGTTTGCTTCATGACTCCACAGGCAGGGGCGGATCCAGGATTTTTTTTAGGAGGGGGTGCACTTGTCTCTTGCTCTACTTCAACACCAATAAACCACATAGTTTTTTCTTTTTTTGCAGAATACCAGTTGTATTAGAAAACCGCAGGTCATCTCAGGGGGGGGGGGGGGGGG